TATAACAGTGGGACCACTGGAACCTACTCAATGGTCTCTAACTTAATGAATAAGGGTTGATATTGGAGGACTAACACCTCACCTTCCTGTGGGTGGGATTCTATGCACAATGAGGGAATGTAAATCTCCCTTATATACACAAAGCTTAAATAACAAACTCCAGAGCAAATTAATTAATAAAAATGATAGAAAATTATTTAGAAATGATCTGAAAATATACAGGAAATTATTATGGAGCATGATCAAAATGACATAAGCACCTGCCTGACAAGTGTGAGGTCCCGAGTTCCATCCTAGGTATCACAAAAACAAAATAAAATAGAATGAAATAAAACTAATAATAATAATAATAATAAATAAATAATGAAATGAAGTAAAATATAAATCATAACAAATGATAAAGACTTCATTTAAATATATGTAGCCAAATTAGATAGGAAAATTACAAATGTGCTTGTATTCTGTGTATAACAGACACATATTAAACCAAATTAATATGGATGAAAAGTGAATAATAGGGCAGTAACTATGAAGATATTACTACGCAAAGTCCAACCAGAAGAAAAAATGAAAAATATGTTTATTAATGATTAATTATTTAAAGCTAAAGAGCATGGTTGGATAGTTTTAAAATGCATGCTGAATTCATAATGGAATGAAGTATTCAATTATTGCAAAATAATTATTTGCCATTTTATATAATGTTTTAGTATTATGTTTAACATTATATTTTCAAATGAAAGAGAAGAAAAAATGCAAAGATAATTATTTTTGTTCAGAAAGAAGAAAAATATAGGATAAATAAGAACTATGGTACTGGGGAGATAGCTCAGCAATCTAAGTGCCTGCCTGACAAGCTCAACAACCCTGATTCAAACCCTGATAAAACATGTTGCACCAGCCCCAGGACCCCAGCCACAAGTACTGTAGTTGGCTACCAAAACTGGGTGTGGTGAAACCATGTAATCCCAGCACTGTGGAGGCTGAGACAGGAGGATCACTATGAGTCCAAGCTGCACAGTGAGACTCTGTAGCAAATAAATCAAAAAGATTTTTAAAAATTAAAAAATAAATAAGGAGAAGGAGGAGAAAGAGAAAGAAGAAGAAAATAGAAGAAGAAGAAGAAGAAGAAGAAGAAGAAGAAGAAGAAGAAGAAGAAGAAGAAGAAGAAGAAGAAGAAGAAGGAGGAGGAGAAGGAA